CCGTTCGCACCCTGCTCCGCTTGCCCCACCGCCGTGCTCGCCGCCGCCATACGTGTCTCCCTCCTGGCATGCTAAGGGGCCGTGCCCTGGCATCCGCCCGTCTGACTCTTCTCAGTGCGCGGCCCCAGAGGTCCCGACCCCTATCCCGCAATCTTCAAGATCGCCCGTTGCCTCAGTGGACGTATACCATTGCCCCACCGGTTGCGCCAGACACCCCGAAATCCGCCCGTGCCTCAAGTGGCGCGCCAGTGCGCCATTGGTTGCGCCCGGCACCCCGCAATCTACCACATCAAATGTTGCTTCAGGAGGTCCACCGTTGCGCCATAAGTCGCGCCGTAGGTTGCGCCAGGAGATCGATCTTTGTTATCCCCAGGGCCCGATTCCCGGGCCCTGGGGGCCGAGAGCGAGGAAAGGCGCCTGGACTCAAGAGACGATCTCGTCGGAGATCGGGGGGGCGGGGCAGGACGGCATGGCGGGCAGGAGACCGCTCCGGCCCAATGCGAGTGGGCGTGATGGTCGGCGCGGTGTGCGGCAGAGGAGAGGAAGAGGAGGAAGAGCATGAGTATGAGGATGAGGATGGGGATGCTGACGAGGATGCGCATGGTGGCGACGATGATGACGATGCTGCTGCTGCTGTTGATGATGGTGATGATGATGATGATGATGATGATGATGATGATGATGATGATGATGATGATGATCCTGATCCTGATGATGCTGCTGGCGAAGATGATGATCATGCTGATGGGGCTGATGATGCTGCTGATGCCGATTGTGATCTTGACGACGACATTGATGATGCTGTTGTTGATGATGATGATCTTGATGATGATGATGATGATGATGATGATGATGATGATGATGATGATGATGATGATGATGACGCTGGTGATGACCAGCATGATGGTGATCATGATGATCAGCATCGTCATGATGATGATTATGACGACAATGATGACGAGTATTCTGAGGATGTTGCTGATGCTGCTTCTGATCAGGACGATGATGATGAGGCTGATGATGATTATGATGATGAAGATGCTGCTGCTGATGATGATGATGATGACGATGAAGGGAGGCAGATGCTGCTGCTGATGAGATGGTGCCGATGATGAGGATGATGACAATTAGGATGATGATGATGATGATGATGATGATGATGATGATGATGATGATGATGATGATGATGATGATGATGATGATGATGATGATGATGATGATGATGATGATGATGATGATCGGAGGAGGAGGAGGAGGAGGAGGAGGAGGAGGAGGAGGATGAAGAGGAGGACGAAGAGGAGAAGGAGGAGGATGAGCAGGAGGAGGAGGAGGAGGAGGAGGAGGAGGAGGAGGAGGGGGGTGCTGATGGCGCTTAGAAGGAGGAAGACGATGATGACGAGGATGAGGAGGATGATCACGATTCTGATGACGACGATGGTGGTGATGAACATGATGATGAGGATGCTGCTGCTGATGACGATGAGGAGGAGGATGATAAAGACGATGATAATAATGCTGAGGATGAAGATGATGATCATGATGATGCTGATGATATTGTTGATGACGATGATGATGATGATGATGATGATGATGATGATGATGATGATGATGATGATGCTGATGATGATGCTGATGATGATGATGATCATGATGATGATGGTGATGATGATGACGTTGTTGTTGATGAGGATGAGGAGGAGGACGAGAGGAAGACTGGAAGAGGAGGAGGAGGAAGAGGAGAAGGAAGAAGAGAAGGAGGAGGAGGACTGGAGCAAGTGTGGAGGGGAAGGCTGCATCGCCTGGCAGAAGCGGCTCTCGAGGAGCCTCGCGCGGGAGGCCGCAAAGTGCCCGCGAGGCCTCGACGAGGCGGAGCTCGCGCGGCTGCTCTGGGCGCTGACTGCGCAAGCCTCGGCAGCCTCTCGTCTAGGTTGTGAGATGCTTTCCCTCCCTCCCCCTCACCTCCCCTTTTCCTCTCCCTGTTTTCCCCTTCTCCCCGCCCCCGCCCCCCCACCCGCGCGAGATAAAGGTGATCCCCGGCAGAAGGGTTCAATCCTTGGCAGACGTCTTCAATCCCCAGGAGCTCATTTCAATATCCCCACAGCTTTGAAGCTTAGAATTGCACCGGTGCGCCTGCTGGGCCTACCGAAAGGCCTCTTGGGCGTTTCGATATGCCTCTTGGGCCTCCCGACTGGCCTCGTGGGCCCTCCCGACAGGCTTCTTGTGTTTTCTGACAGGCCATTCGGGCCTCCCGAGAGGCCCTTCCTCAAGTATTGAGGGTCAAGTCCTTTTTGGCCTCCTTCACCTGTGCCTCACCGCGGCACTTGAGAGACTAGATTCGAGCGCTATCCGCTGTACTTTAGTTTGCGCTCAACTTCGATCAAAGCAGGGGGGAATCCGATGGCGCGTGGCTCGTCCTTGTCCAGGGGTCGCGGCGCATGGGGCCAACGCCCAGATTGTGGATCGTGCGAGTACAGCGACGTGCTGTCCAAGGTGGTTCGCATCTGCCGTGGCTGCACATCAAGGGTGCCTCTGTGCAAACCTTATTCGCCTTCGGCAAGGCGCAAGGTCGGCTTCGATTTGACGGGCGACGATGAGGAGCAGCTGGTGGTCCCTCGTGGGACCAGGGGAGCGAACGGCAAGGGCCGCGGCGACGCCAAGGGCGGTCGGCGTGGCGCGGGTTCTGGCGTTGCCGCCCTCCTGCAGCCGGCCCTCCAGGAGACGGGGGACCAGGAGCTCGAGGGCTGCCTGCAGAAGCAGGTGGACAAGCTAGTTGCGGAGGTGGTGGAGCCCAAGGACGAGCCGTCCCTCGTCGAGGCGTTCCGCCGTGTTGAAGGGGCACGCAGAGATTCCGAGCCGCGGCGCCCGAGAAAGGTTGCACGCGTTGTTCGGCTGCGCAAGCACCGCCAGCTGGCGGTAGAGAAGAAATCGGAGGTGGGGAGGGCGGTGGCCGAAGCCGCGCTGGCCCGCAGGGCTGCAGCGCAGGCCGTGGCCCACGCCGTGGCCGTGGTGGCGGCGCCTGCTCCCCAGCCCGAGACCGCCGCCGGCCCGAAGCCAATCTCCCACGTCAGTTTGGACCATTAGTTCTTCGACCAGATCGACAGCATGGGGTGCGAGGAGCACGAGAAGGAGGCGCTGAAGTGCATCGAGTCGAACTTCGAGGCCACGCAGGGCGCCATGGCCTCCAAGGAGGCCAAGGTGAATGCACGGCTCGAGAAGCTTGAGTCCGTCAAGCGCGACATCGGGAAGAGGCTCGCCAAGAAGAGGCGAGGGGTCGACGGCCAGGGGGCGGAGAGGGCGAAGGAGGAGGAGGAGAAGGCAAAGGAAGAGGAGAAGGAGGAGGAGGCGGGGAGGAGGAAGAGGAGGAGGAGGAGGAGGAGGAGGAGGAGGAGGGGAGGAGGAGTGGGGGGAGAGCTCGAGGGCGATCGACGATCGGCGACGGTGATCGGCGACGGTGATTGACGATGACGACGACGGTCGTCGACGGCGGCGACCGACGACAACGACGATCGACGACGATGACACCAGTTGACGCCGCCGATCGGCGAACGACGACGACGACGGCCGCGGCGACGGCGGCGACGCTGCCCGTCCTCCTTTTCCTCCTCGTCCTCCTCCTCCTCCTCCTCCTCCCTCGCTCCCTCCCTCCCTCCCTCCCTCCCTCCCTCCTTCCTCCTTCCCCCTTCCTCCCTCCTCCCTCCTCCCTCCTCCTCCTCCTCCTCCTCCTCCTCCTCTCCTCCTCCTCCTCCTCCTCCTCCTCTCCTCCGGCTCCTGTTCCTCCTCGCCCCTCCTCTTCCTCCCCCATCCTCCTCTTTCCTCCTCCTCCTCCTCCTCCTCTCCTTCTTCCCTCCCCCCATCCCTTCTCGCCCCCCCCTCCCTCCTCCACTTCCTCCTCCTCCTCCTCCTCCTCCTCCTCCTCCTCCTCCTCCTCCTCCTCCTCCTCCTCCTCCTCCTCCTCCTCCCCATTGTCGCCCTCAGCCCCAACGCGGCCCCAAGAGTGACCCAGGAGGGCCCAAGACGGCTCAAAAGGGTCGTTTTGCGGTGCCCACAGAACCCCCCGAGACGGCGCAGGAGGCCCCGACGCCAGCCCAGGAGGCCCCCGAGCTGGCCTCAGGGATGCCCAAAAGGGCTGACGGCGATGACGCGGATGATGATGACGATGATTATGCCGACGACGACGCCGACGACGACCTACAATATGTCGATCATACGGATGATGCTGCTGAAAAGTACGATGAAGATGATGGCGATGGTGATTACGACGCTGATGAGATCGGTGGTACTGATGGCTGCTGTGGTTGTTGTGATGGTGAAGGTGACCGTGACCATGACGATGACGATGAAAATGACGGGGATGAGGATGACAACGATGACGATGATAATGGCCCTAGCCAGAACTTGAGAGTGCGCAAAGCGCGCGATGGTTCTAGTACGTATGTGTGTATATATATTTACCTATACGACCACCCTGCGGGTGATAAGGAGGCTGGGGGGAGGTAGGGGCCCAGCAATGGGCAGCAATGGAGATTGTTGCGTTGCCGCTCGCTCTTGGGAGCCATGGTGTTGAGTTCTTTACGTCGCCCTTCGCTCATCATCGGGGCACCATCATCATCACCACCATCATCATCATCATCACCACCACCACCATCATCATCATCATCATCATCATCTTCATCATCATCATCGTCAACATCATCATCAGCATCATCATCATCATCGGGACACCGACGGGACACCGGCGGGACTCCGGCGGGACACCGCGCGCCACCGGCCCCCGGTCAGGAATCATTTGGTCCGGCCGCGCCTCAACTGGAGGCGGGACACCGGCGGGACACCGCGCGCCACCGGCCCCCGGTCAGGAATCATTTGGTCCGGCCGCGCCTCAGCCGGAGGAGACTTTCTTCTCGCCCGCCTACGCAGTTTCGTTTCGCCCGCACGCACGGCACGCACGAGCACCAAACCGAAACCGATTTCCCGGTAGGGGGGCTCTCCTTTCCACTTCGATCTCACCCCCCAACTTCCGATATATATATTATATATATATATATATATATATTATATATATATATATATATATATATATATATATATATATATATATATATATATATATATATATATATATATATCACCGATCGTTTCTCGGGTTGCGGGGTGGTGAGCAAGCAAAATTCGTCTGGCCGTATTCTGCGCTCGCGGGAGGGACCTCTTCCACGGGACCTCGGGGGACCTCTGCGGCCCAAACATTCGTGGGCCCATCGGGCAGGACCTCGCTCGCGGCCCATGTCTCGGCATGATGCTCGCCCCCCCTCTGCAGCTCGCGGTCGGCTGCTCGAGATCGAACGCGTCCGATTCGGTCTCGAGAGTTTAACTGGAAAGGGCCCGGGTTTTGAAGGCCAGCGACCTGGCCAATATCGCTCTCGCGAACGCCCCGCTCGCAGCTATCGATCTGGCTCGCGCTGCCCAGTCTGCCAGGGTTCCCTGGGTTCTCGAGAACCCTCGCATTTCCAAAATGTGGCACGATCACATACGTCGAGTTTTTGCTGCACGTCGTCACGGTCACTCGGTTGTAATTGATTTTTGTCAATGGGGTAAACCGTGGCGGAAACAAGGGATTTGTTTTTTAGTTGGCAGGGCTTGTCTGGACGATCTGGTTCAGCTCAATCGAGACTGCTCTGGACGAGGAATCAGCAGCCGCACGGACCGCCCCATCCAGCAGTTGGAGGGAGCCGGGCTTGGAGGGATTCGCTGGACACTCCTTTCATGGCCCTACCCCTCGCGGCTCGCTTACGTGTTAGCTTCCATTATTTTCTCGAACGCCCGCAGTGAATAGAACACTTGATAACTACACTTTACCTTCGGATCGGAAGGTTTGGGGTGCCTGAAATTCAAAATGTTCTCACTTCGCGGCCTGTACTTCCTTTTGGGGCTCTTGTGCCTCCCGTCAGCATGCTCGAAGACGAAGTGGCCGTGGCACAGTATGGATTGTGTTGGCAAGTCGGGCCCATCAGAGGAGAGCGGCCCAGCTATTCCCCTTCCGCCGGGTGCGTGGATGTGAAGGAGGGGGCTGGACCGCAACACGCGGCACAAACCCATCACTCGCTTCCCCGTGCAAGCCCAATGCCTCTGCTCCTGGGGTGCCTGAGTTTCAGAATGTTCTCAGCTCGTTCGCTGTATATGTTGTTTGAGGGGTGGGGGCCTCCCGTCCGCACGCTCGAAGACAAAGCGGCCGTGGCACAAGAAGGATCGCGGTGACAAAAGGGATCCATCAGAGGAGAGCGGCCCAGCTACCCCCCTCTCCTCGTGATTTTCGTCCCCTTATTCCATGATTTGGTCAGGCCCCTGGTCCTATCTTGCTGCTAGTGCCATTCGAAGTTCAGGGTCCCGCTCGACGCCCACATTGGCCGTCAGGACACTGCCAACCATAGTGGGAAGAGGCGAGAGGGATGGAGTGGATGCCAGATTCGGCAAAGTATCAACGAGACGCTGCGGCTAGTAGCCCGTCAGTGTGTTACTCCTGCGCTTTTGTCCGAAAGCCTGATGCTCCGTCAGCACTAGCACGCTGGTGGGCTCCCACGGTGGCGTGCCATTGCTGATTCTTCGTGGGATGCAGTTTTGCAGGGAGAGTGAATTCAACATCGGCGCGGGCATATCCGTGGTGGAGGATCTGCGTAATTCAGTTTTCTCTGGCCGAATATGGCTAGAACTCGCTGTACCTGGTTCAATCTGGCTCATCATGTTTGATCACGGGTTCCAAGTTCCAATGGGCCTAGCTTGGCATAGTTGCTTTCGATGCCAGATTTTGCAGAGTATGGACGACACTCCTTCAACAGTAGTACGCTGGTGGCTTCTCACGGTGGCGCGCCATTGATTATGCTTTGTGGGATGCAGTTTTGCTGGGAGAGTAAATTCAGCACTGGCGCTGGCATATCCGTGGTGGGAAATCTGTATAATCCATTTTACTCTGACCAAATATTGTTAGATATCGTTTTATCCGGCGTAACCTGGCATCCGCATGTTTGACCCCGGGCTCACATGGGTTTCGTTTGACATAATTGCCCTCGATCGGGCTGCATCGCCTTCAATCAGGTTTTATCAGGCTGTGCGAGAACCTCCCAATAATTGTTTCCTCACAGTTTTGCTCCCCGAAGGTGCGGCGCATGCGCGGACCTCTTGCCCACCTTCCCTTTCCCGCGGGTGGCTTCGTCCGCTGGGGCCAGCGCCCATCCGACCGCAGGCCAGGCGCGCGCGGGAGCGGAAACCGAGGCGGGAAGCGGAGGCTGCCGCCGCTTGTTTTTCTCAGGAAACAGCGACATCGTCACCACCAGCGGGACCGCCCCCAGCGAGGTGCTCCACGATCGAGGAACAGAAATTGGCATCAGCACAAATGTTTGGGGTTCCACGCTGACCCCCCTTCCTTGCCGAGCAGCAAGGCGCGCCTGGGGCGGCGCCGGAGGCGCTGCCAGGTGGCTCCGTCGCCGATGCGAGAAAGCCGCGCGGACATCCGAAAACTTCTGTATATGTCATGACCTGTTCTCCGACACGATGCCTACCCGAACTGGGGGACGGGGATGCCTCGAGCAAAGGGGAGGGGCACACCAGCAGGGGGACCTTCCCTGGCGCCTCGCGCTGGTGGTGGCGGTTCCGCCTTTCCTTGTTCTTACCGCGAGCCCGCGCACGGTGCCATCGGGCGCGCAGGCAGACGGGCGGCAACGTGGTGGAGAGGCTCAAGTCTGGAGGGGGAGATGATGGTACGACCGCAGTGAAACGGAAAGCTTCCCAACGGGAAATTGGTTTCGGTTTCGTGTCGTGCTTGCGGGCTAGCCGAAGCTGCGTGGGCACGCGAGAGGAATGATCCCGCCGTCGCTAGGGCGATTCGGATGCAAAAATCCGGCCCTCCAGTGGGCGCGCGGTGGCAGGGGGTGTCCAGCCGTTGTGTCCCGCGTTGTGAAGTCGACAGTGATATCAGTAGTTGCATCGATCGTGCGAGCGGCAGTGAGATCTATACTTGCATCGATAGTGCAAGTGATAGTGAGATCGACAGTGCGATAAATGGCGAGATCGACCGTCAGATCGATAATGGGATCGATTGTGAATTTGTTTCGAGATCGATTGAGATCACTTCAGAGATCGAATGTGAAATCGGTCGTGAGGTCGGTCGAGTACGGCCGTGAGAGCGATAGTGGGATCGATCGATTGAGATCGATAGCGGGTCGACAGTGACTGCATACTGCGGTGCAACACCGTCATCACGCGTCGTCGCCAAGTCGACGGCGCGCCACCAGCATTGTCATCACCACGTCCATCGCAGTTGCCAGCAGTTGTTTTTTTCCCCTCCCTCACCCGCAGGGTGACGCAGGTCGTATAGGTATATACCGATGCCGCTGCTCGTCCCGGAGATCTCGCATCGCCGCGGCTGGTTTCGCACTGGAAGTCTGGCCAGAGCGCATCAGGAGAGGTCCGGAAAGCAGCAGCACATGGTTCTTTTTTGTTCCCTTCGGAGAGGCTCCAGTTCGCGGGCGGGCGACGTCTTGGAGAGGCGGTGCGCACTCAGGTGGCGCCGCGCTCGAGGCAGGCGAACTGATGCCGGGTGGGGCGCGGGGGTCCGCCGGCCCGCGGGCCTTGGCCGGCCCTCGATACAGACGCGCCGAGGATGCGCTCAAGATCCGGACGGGGACGCTGGCGGACGAGATCCGGGGCAATTCCGGGATGCGAGCGCCGACAGCAACGGCCATCCTTCGAGCCCACCACCTCTCCCCGCACCTTTTATCCCGTCCTCTCCTGCCTCCGCTTTCTTTCCCCTCCCGCCCCCGCCACTTCCTCCTCCAGCTCTCTGCCCCCCCCCATTTCTCATTTTGCCTTTCCCAGATATCCGACGTCGTGCTCTTTTGCTACGGGGCCCCTCGGAGGTAGATCGGGCCAACATGGCAAACACGGCAGGGATCCTCTGGGTGAAACATTTTAGGGGAATGTTCGGGGGAATCTCCAAATTGTATTTGAGCATTCCCACAATCTCCGCTACGGGCTCAAACATCTTCGGGGAAGTATTTGGAACATCTCGGGGCTTAATACAACTCAGGGGAAATCTCTGGATCATTTGCACGCCGCAGAAATATGTGGAACATCTTTTTGGAACATCTCCCAAACATATCTGGCTTGCGAAGTTCTTTGGGACATCTTTCGAACATCTCCGGCAAATATGTGGAAACTACCCGCGGAGTGCAGAAACCGTCGGATCAATTTTCCGGAACATGATCGACCCACGAACCCAGAAACGGATATGGAAACGTGAGGCATTGTAACGTTTCCAAGACACTTGATTGGGCGACGGGCAATTGCAATGCTGAATGTGTCGATATTGGTGTACCGTGCCCAGGGCTGTGCTGTGCTGTGCTGTGCTGTGCCGTGGTAAACTGCAGTGTTACATGCCGCGATTGTGCTCTATAGCGTTGTGGATCGAGTCCTCCTTGGCATTCGAGTCCTGACCGAACTGATCTGGATCTGCAGCTCGAGCTGCCTGAGCACATAGTAGCCGCCCCAGAGCTAGTTGAAGTGGAAACGTGGAGGACGTTCAATCAACTCGAACTCAAAGTCCGACAGCTCCGAAAAGGAACGACACGACACGGGGCAGAGGCTCACGGACGCGCCACAGGAAGTGCCAGGAGCGCAATAGGGGATGCGCCAGGGGACGTGTCAGGGGACGCATCAGGGACGTGCCTTGGACGTGTCAGGGACCTGCCACGGGACGTGCCACAGCGAGTGCCATGGGGCGGCCAGAGGACGTCGTGCCAAGGGACGTCTCAAGGGGCCCGCCACGGAACGGGCCGGGGAAACGCCTGGGGACGAGCAAGGAAGCGCGGCAGAGGGCGAGCCAGGGAACGTGCCACGCCGAGTGGCGTGCTAGGGGACGTGCCAGGGCACGTCACGCCTGCACGTCGCAAGGCACGCGCCAGGGGGTGCGACGGAGCTCCTCGGGACGCCCCACAGACGGGCGGGGTTGGACTGCGACGCACTCTACTGCGACAAGCGTTTCGCCAGAGACATCCTCAACAAATCCTCATGTTAGACATCCGCCTGGGCGATCCGGACAAGAGAAACCAAGCGTCTCGCTCGAGACGTTCTCAACACCTCACGCCAGACATCCGCCTGAGCGACCTTGACGTGAAAGCACGCGTTGCGCTCAACACATCCTCAGCACATCCTCCTGCTAGACATCCTCCTGGGCGATCTGGACAAGCGAAAAGAGCGCTTCATTCGAGACATCCTCCGACCATTATCATATTAGATATCCGCCTGAGCGACCTGGGTAAATGAAAACAAGCGTTTCGCTCAACAGATCCTCAACACATCCTCATGCGAGACATCCGCCTGGGCAACCTGGACACGTAAAAACAAGCGTCTTTCTCGAGACAAACCTCAACACATCCTCATGTTAGACATCCGCCTGGGCGACCTGGACATGTGAAAACAAGCGTTTCGCTCAACACATCTTCAACACATCCTCATGCTAGACATCCGCCTGGGCGACCTCGACACGCGAAATCAAGCGTGTTTCTCGAGACATCCTCAACACATCCTCATGCTAGACGTCTGCCTGCACGACCTGGACCAAGAAAACAAGCGTCTCGCTCGAGAAATCCTCAAACAGTCCTGATGCTAGACATCTGCCTGGGCAACCTGGAGGCGTGAAACCAAGCGTCTCGCTCGAGACATCCTCAAGAGCTGGGCACTTCAAAGCACGCATCTCACCTGAGACATCCTCTGAACTCTGGTCCCCAGGAGAGGAACGATCTGCAGAAAGCGAACGTTTCGCTTGAGACATCCGAAAGAATGCGCAGGCCCTCGTCGAACATGGCACCGGGGGACTGGTTTACCTGCTAATGGAGGACCCTGGGCATCTGCCCATTCTGGGGAAATCTCAAGCAAATCAGTGGAACATCTCCGGCGGAGATGTCGTTGGAGATTTTGAAGGGGAGCATTTGTTTGGGAGATTCGCTGGAAGATTATTAAGGTGCGAAGAGTTGTTCGGAGATTCGCCAAACTATCATTAACACGTGAAGATGTTCTCGAGATTCGCTGGCAAATTTGGGGAGATAGGAGATCTGCGGGACTTTCGATAATATTATATGAAAGGTCCAGGGCGATCACGTTTGTCGTAACTGACCCAGTCTAACCCCAGAGGTCTGGACCCATCCTGGGGACTGGCTTTTCATCTCGAGTCGTCCTGGGGCCAGGCGAGGGCCCTCCGAGCCCGAGCGTGGCGAAAAACTTCCGTCGTGATCTGTTCAAGACGCGAGGGTCAGGGTTCCGCGGGGGCGTGGATCCCCAACGTGAGGCTTGCGGCACACGGCATCCCGCTGAGCGGTCAGTGACGATTGCGGCGGGCCGAGGCCCTTGCCGACGAGGTGGGGTCCGCCGGCCGCGGCAGCTTGCGCGAGGCGCAGAACGTGCTGGCGAGGGAGGCGCACCTGGTTCGACAATCGCCGTCGGCTGCAGCCATCGCCGACGACGAGGCTTTACGACGACGAGAGCGACGACGGCGATGGGCGGCAACGGCGACGACGGTCCCCTCCCGCCCCCCCCAGGAGCTGGCAAAATCCCACGGGGCGCCATGACGACAGTTTCGGCAGAATCGGGGGCCTTTGATGCGGCGTTGTGGCGCCGACCACCTCTACCCCACATTTCGGCAACCTCTGTGTTCACCCACATGCATGTCAGATCTGAGCCAGTTGCCGCGTTAGCTTTGGGACTTGGCATGGGCCTGGGAGGAGATTTGCGCAGGGTTCTTTGGATGCACTTGCACGCCATTCGCAAGTGTGTGGTAATGTTGTGAAAGTTGCGGTAGGTCGTTGTACATGTTGCTAAGTGCCGCGATGTGACGCTATGCCTTCTAACGTGTTTTCTACGTTGCAGCCTTTCTCACCGTTCCAGCCTTTTTGGTCCGAGCGATGGACCGCCAGACCAAGGTACCGAACGTTGATTTGACTGTGCAACACTCTGGTTTGCGCGCCTCCACCGCCGGCTTAAAACAGTGTAGCACGGCCGCTCCGAGATTTGCCCGACTATGGAGACGAGGCGTCTTCTTGGAACAATTGGCAACGGCAGGTGGGAGGTCATCACCGGAGATGGTTCCGCTGGGCCGGAGGGGGAGCGGAAACCGGAACCGGAAACCGGAAACCGGAAAACGGAAACCGGAAAACGGAAAACAGCGAAGAAGGGAGCGGAGGCCGACGGCAGACGACAAGAATCGGAAAACGGAAAAGGGAAAACGGAAAACGGAGAAGAAAGACGCGGGGGGTGACGGGAGAGCACCGGAACCGGAAAACGGAAAACGGAAAGCGGAAACCGGAACCAGAAAACGGAAACGGGAAACCGGAAAGGGGAAAATGGAAAACAGCGAAGAGGGAAGCGGAGGCCGACGGGAGACCACCGGAATCGGAAAACGGAAAACGGAAAAAGGAAAACGGCGCAGAAAGACGCGAGGGACCACGGGAAAGCACCGGAACGGGAAAACGGGAAACGGAAAACGGAGACCGGAACCGGAAACCGGAAAACGGAAAGCAGAAACCGGAAAACAGCGAAGAGGGAGCCGGGAGCCGACGGCAGACCACCGGAATCGGAAAACGGAAAACGGAAAACGGAAAATGGCGTAGAAGGACGCGGGTGCCCACGGGAGAGCACCGGAACCGGAAAACGGAAAACGGAAACCGGAAACCGGAACCGGAAAACGGAAACCGGAAAACGCAAAGCGGAAAATGGAAAACGGAAAACGGAAACCGGAAACCGTAAAACGGAAACCGGAAAACGGAAAGCGGAAAACGGAAAACGGACAACGGAAAGCGGAAACCGGAAAACGGAAACCGGAAAACGAAAATCGGAGGAGGAGGAGGAGGAGGAAAAGGAAGAGGAGGAGGAGAAAGAGGAAGAGGAGGAGGAGCTTCCCTTCCTCCTCTCTCCCTCTTGCCCCCCCCCGCCCCTCCTCCCTCCCCGTTCCCTTTGCCAGGCTTCCTCCCTCCCTCCCTCCTGCCTCCCCCCTCGTTGATCCTGCCCTCACCTCCCTGTCTCCCTCCTCGTTCCCTCCTCCTCCTCCTCGTCCCTCTTCCCGAGCGGAGCCGGCGCGCGGGCTGGCCAGACCGAAGGACAACGACGATCTGATTTCAAGAAGCCCACAAAACGTTCCAAGACTGCTCCAAGAGGCTTCCGAGACCTCCAAAGAGGCCCCCGAGAAGCCAAACTCCTTCAAACACCAAAAGAAAATGAATGATTTTTGCTTTCTCGCCTTTTCGCTTTTGATGGCCATCCGAAGCCTCAAGGTGCATCCAAAATGGCCCAGGAGAGCCCCAGGAGAGGCCCAAGAGCCCCAGGACGGCCCCAAGAGCGCCCCAAGAGCGATCCAAGAGAGGTCCAGGAGGCGATCGTCGGTGCTCCCAAGGGGGGAGGCAAATTGAAGCTCACCTTTTTGTGATCGATGTCCTCCAAGATGGCCCCAACAGCGCCCCTAAAGCTCCCAAGAGCGGCCCAGGAGGGCCCCAAGAGGCGCTCAGGCAGCCCGAAGATGCCTCCAAGAGGCTCCCGAAAGACCCTATACGAGGCCCCAAGAGGATCTCCGAGGTACCCAACTCTCCCTCCTTTTCCTCCTTCTCGTCCTCCTCGTCCTCGCCCTACTCCGCCTCCTCCTCCTCCTCCTTCGACGACGACGATTCCTCCTCCATCCTCCCCCTCCTGCGGTATATGACGGCGTCCCCCGCCCTTTGTCCTTCTGCATGCTCCCCCACTTCTCGTATCATCTCAACTCTCCTGGGCATCGTTTCTGGATGGGCTGGTGGGGATATGTGAAGCGTCAACAATAGCAGCGCGTTCATCGATTACCGATGACAAATCCCACCAGTCCTCTGGGCGGAGGTGGTCTACGGCGTTTCCTCTGGTAGCTTTCCAGAAACCCCTCTCCCTACCCTCTCCCCTGGACCTCGCCGCACCCCCTGCAATATTCTGCAAAAGAGGGGTGCAAAGATTCCGTGCTGACCCTGCAACACCCTGCAATACCTTGGAAAACGACCCTGCAAACCAAACCCCTGCAGTACCATGCAATACCCTGCAAACCACCCTGAAATACCCTGCAAAACGACCGCGCGCCCTCTGGGTGGAGGAGGTCAGAAGCGGTTCCTCCGCACGCTTTCTAATCCCCGAGCCCGCTGGGCGTGAGTGGTCTAGCAAATTGCCTCTTCCAACTCCCCTGCTTCGCCTTCGGGGAGGGGCCTATCATTTTTTCTCATTAGAATGATACCGGAGAAAAGACCCAATCAGGGCTATAGGGCTAGAGGGCTATAGGGCTATTGAGCTATAGGTCTATAGAGCTATAGGGCTATAGAATTGTAGGGCTGTCGGGCTATTGGGCTATAGTGCTTAGGGCTATAGGGCTATAGGGCACTCCCGGGCACGCCCGGGCACCCGGGCACCCGGGCCCCCTGGCCCCCCCGGGCACCCCCAGGCACCCGGGCGTGCAGCGAACATCGGCGACAAACCTAACCTAACCATATGAATCCGCTATGACCCCTACAGAAGCAAGCTCTGATTGAGGAATAAACACCCCCTCCCTGGCCCGACTGGCAGCCATTCTGGATCCATAGCGACACCCATGGCAACACCCCCCACAACATCCCTGTCAAAAGCCATACAACATAAACTTTGCCTCTGGAGCCTGGAGCATGCGCGGGCATCCCACGACCACTTAGCATGGGGTCTTGACAAGGACGGCGGCGGTGCCGGCACATTGTTCGCCGCGCGCACACCCGCACACAACAAACCCGCCGTCACTGTGTATGGTTTTCGACAGGGACGGTGGGAGGGTCGACACATTACCCAATGTGGCGCACCTGGTCCGCGTGGCGCAGCTGACATGTGCGGCCCATCTCGCGGGCTTCGCGCACCTGGCTGGCGTTTGCGTTGGTTCCCGATAGCTGTCGATGGTGGCCCCTGTCCATGCTGAAACTCGGGTGCTTCTTATGTGTTGGGAGGGCGGGTGGGAACAAACGAGACGGTTTGTTGCTTGTGGGTAACTTAATCACTGCTCCCTATTAATAAACACGCCCTCCCCCAGGCGACTGGGGGCCAACCCGAGTCCATGCCGACCCCCCCCCCACCATCCCTTGTAAAAAACAATACAAAACACACTCTGCCTCCAAATTCGGAACATGCGCAGCCAACCCGATGCGGCCCCCCCCCACCATCCCTGTCAAAAAACGATACAGAGTACACTTGGCGGCGGCGGCGGCGGCGGCGGCTGCGGCGGCGGCGGCGGCGGCGGCTGCGGCGGCGGGGCGGCGGCGCGGCGGCGGCGGCGGCTGCGGCGGCTGCGGCGGCGCGGCAGCGGCTGCGGCTGCGGCGGCGGTTTGGCAGCGGGGGGCGGCGGCGGCGGCGGCGGCGGCGGCGGCGGCGGCGGCGGCGGCGGCGGCAGCGGCGCGGCTGCTCCCGGCTGTCTTGGAGTCCAGGGGCAAGCCGGTTGACGAGCTTCAGGAGGGAAAAAACACAGTCACAATTAATTGTCGATCCCCCAGAAAATATGGGAAAATATGGGAAGTGTGGGGGGAGACAAAAACCTAGAAAATAGATGAGAATATAGGGAATCTGTTTATTTGTGTGTATTAATTTGTGTGTCCTGGGGCCCCTTCAGAGCTGGTCGCCTGCGTGTGTGCTCCTGCGGCCGGGATCTGCCAGAGGTCGAGTGGTCATTTCTGTGCTTCCCACCGTTTGGCGGGAGATCCAGCGCCGTCTCGCGTTCGGCAGCGCCGATGTGCTGCCTGGCGCGGCGTGAACAGCCAAGCGCGAACGCCACCGGCACGAGCACTACCACTGCTACCACCAGCGCGGCCACCACTCCCACCGCCGCGACCACTACCAGCTCCGACACGACCACCACCACGGGCCCGACGACCATTAGTACGGCCACAACCACGACACGCCGCGATTCCCATGACGGCCTCACCACGACCAGTGCGGCCGCGGTGCCCGACGCGACCATTGCCGCTCCCGGGCCCGACGAGCAGTCGCACGACCACCGCCGCGACCATTGGAGCCTTTTGTGGAGCTTCCTACGGGGCCATGAAACGCGTGAAGAGTGTATCGCCTTGGGTGCGGGGCCGCCATGCGAACGCAGCTCCTGGGGCCTCCGGTGGGGCCCCCTTTTGGGCCGCGAAGCGTGCGAGGGTCGTGCCGACGCGGGCGCGGTGCCGCCTGGCGAAAGCAGCCACTGGAACCTTCAGTGGAGGCCCGCCTAGGGCCACGACGCTTCTGAGGGGTGTGCCGACATGGGCGCGGTGCCACCGTGCGATCGCAGTGGGGCCACGAAACGTGTGAGGGGTGCGCCGACATGGAGGTGGAACTGCATGCGGATCCTGTCACCGGGGCCTTCGGTGGAGCACCCAATGTGGCCACGAAGCGCGTGAGGGGTGCGCCGAAATGGAAG